ACAGCGCGGTGGCACCATCTATCCATGAGGAAGAGGTGTACATCCTTTAACAGTAGACTAGTTCCATAGTATGGTCAGTCACTCATGAATTCCTTCTCAAATCACTACTGGAACATAGAAACTAGAAAGAAAAGCTTGAAGCAAGTGGAAATGCGTCAAGGGCATTTCTTTCTCAATGGCAGTAGGAAAGCCTACTTGAGTAGTGCATTGGATCTACACTTGGACAGCTTCATCGAGACTTCACATACGTAGATTGCCATGTTTATATCTGAACAAAAACACCTTACTGATGTTTTTGTTTCCAGACTGAAATCTTTAACTATAAGAAGGGAATCGATTACAGCCAGATTACCGCCTATGGTACACTAAGAATTTAATAATCAATGAGAAAAGGTGCTAACTAAATAGAAAAATCCCGATTTCGATCATCTTTAACGCCTCCTCCGTGCCGAGGTTCAGTCGCACCATGTCTGGTTCTTGGTAATGCCGTCTATCCTTTTGCACCTCATCTGCAGTCTCCAATAAAATTAAAACTTGTCTAAAGACTAGATGATGTAGGGTACGTCTTAAAAGTGCTCCTCTACTATGTCGTGCCTTACGTCAAGAGGTGGTCATGGTCAGTCTAGAACTACTCAGATAGCACTTCAGGTTACTTCTGAAACACCCCCAGCCCAGCAGGGCCAGCAGCAGACTCAGAGATAGAGAGGTGGATCATCTCACACAGGGTCACGTTCTACTTGTGGCCGCACTCATCGTGGCGATTGTTGGGGTACATCTCAAAGTTGCTACACTTGCAAAGAGGTTGGTCACATTACGAGGTTTTGCCCTCGAGATAGTGGTACTGGTCAGACAGGCACGCAGCAGCAGGGTACTATGGTTACCGCACATCCTCCAGCATAGCCAGTTAGAGTTGTTCCTCATGGTACTCAGGGTCGTGGACGTCCAGGTCGACTTTGTTAAAGTATATATACACATATACTTTATAGTGAGAGAGAAGATTATCTAACACGGATAGAGATGTCAAATGAAAGGAATCACTACACAAGAATAGAGCCATTTTTCTTCATTCACTTGGTATCGGATCTTTTCTAAATGAATCATTTGCCCTTCGACGGGAACTCCTACTACTTCTATCTACCTACGTCATTCTTTCTTTCATAAATCAAGCAATTTCCCACGGTCAAGCCTAGTAGAGCTCCTAGTCCAGCAAGACTAGCAAAGATACTATCAGGCCTGGTTACCATAAGAATGGAAGGGAAAGCGAAGGACAGAGACCATTTCACAAGAGCTTCAAGAAGAGTGAATTGAATTAGCCGCGGGTGGCTGAACTGCAGGGATTTCTATTGTTGAGCCAAGTGAGCTAGGTTGCACTTGCCTTTTTGAATTGGCTATGCCGAAAGCTAGATCGTCTAGTTCTACTGGATGGGCATAGGACCTTTTAACAACTCCTATGCATTTTCTTCCTACTATCATGTAGTAATGGCATAAACGTTCCCTACTGGAACCAGTCTTTATCCAATCCCTTTCTTGCCTCTTGAATCTTCATATTTCCTGATACTTTCTCAGTAGCAGCTGGGTCCGAGATAGAATAGAAAGTTTGAGTTCAGTTCTTTCTTTCTTTGAAGGACTTTGAAAGCCCCAAGACATATAGTTAGAATGGAATTTCCGTCTATTGTATAGGGCTATTATATTCATGGGTACTCGTCTACTAATGCCTAGCTACATCGGATTGACTACTACCCCGAGGACTCTACTTCGATATCATCTAAAGAGTCAATGTTGATGGGCCTATCCTTTTTTAGAGTTTCCCAATCTTCTTACTTCCCCTTACCTAAGACAGAAGGAGAAAGCAGCTCGTCAGGGAGTGGATGACCAAGCGCAACAGAGTCGGTGTCGGTATAGTCAGACTTATTATTAAAGATAATGGGGTCCATATGCATCCTAGTGTAGGCAGCCGCTGCCGCCATCTGGACCGCAGCCTTCCTCTGGGGGCACCATTTTTCTATGGTCAGGCCAGTGTAGCTACAGTAGGTAGCGAAGTTGGTGTTTTCTTTAAGCTCTACACCGTGCTGGAACTCCTCATGAGAGAGAATCAATTCTTTCCACCTTACTTAAGAAATGCATTTCATAATCCTAGTTAGGGCCGCATACCTCACCAGTATAGGCCTCATACGCCTTAATCACGTTTTGGATCCTTCCAGGCCAATCTTTCATCAATTTTTGGTTAACCGTTC